CGTCGCCAGCCTCTGTTCCCGGCGGGCCCAGGAGCGCAGGGGCTGGAGCCAGCAGTGAAGTCCCGTGTAGTCCGGTTAACTGGCGAAGCGTTAGGTTAACTGGATGTTTGACGGGTTAGCAGGGATTTTGCAGCCCTCGCTCGGCACGGTGCTGCGCTGTGTGAATGAATCACAGGCTGCTCAAGGGGGCGAGAACGCTGGGTTACCTCTGCCCAGGAGCAGTTACAATTACAGGTCTTTGCTCCCCCAGACCCAGGGGGCTTTTGCTGTGAGGGAGGCCCCCTGGGAGCCTGGGCACACACAGGAGAGCAGAGTGGGGGGCTGGGGCTGGGGTTGGATCTGGGGCACGGTGCAGTGAGGTCCCTGCCCCAGCTCCTTTCAACCTCTAGCTGGAGGGATCATTCAGAGGCTCCCCAGCCATTTTCCTTCTGGCCCATGTGTAGGGACATGACACCTGCACTAACATACCAGGGCGGAGTTGCACTGAGTGGCTGCAGTAGGCAGAGCCCCTGCTCGGAGCTGGGCATCTCTGCTCCCAGGATGCCTTTGGGGCTGGCAGAGCCGAGTGGCTGCCTCCTTCCAGGCTGGGTCCCTGCTAAGGCCGGTGTGTATGGCACTCGCCGCCTGCCAGACAGGCAGATAACAGCTGTTTGTCGCCCTGGATGCCCTGCAGGAGAAACTCCAGGGAGCCCTGGGCCCGCTCAGGGAGCAGCTGGAGGAGGCCCTGGTGCTGAGAAGTGAAGAGGAGGAGAAAACCGCAGAGTGGCAGGTGGGTATCTGGGTTAATCTCCCTGGCTACATCTACCCTTCAGGCTTCTTTTAGAAGAGCCATTTTTCGGAAGAGATCTTCCAAGAAATCCTCTTCTGAAAGAGAGCGTCTGCAAACAAAAGCACATCGAAAAGCGATCTGCTTTTTCAAAAGAGAATGTCCAGACTGAATGGATGTTCTCTCGTGTGTCAGCTGTGATTGCTATGGACGGAGTGGCCACCAGGGCTTTTTCCTCTTTCCTCTTCTTCTGAAAGAACACCACCTTCCCCGTCCACACACACGTTTTTGTGAAAGCTCTTTTGCAAAAAGTCTTCTTCCTCGTAGAATGAGGATTATCAGTGCTGGGAAAAAACCCTCTGTTCGTTCGATTTAATTTAGAAAGAATGCGATTGCAGCATGGATGTAACTGGAGGTTTTTCAGAAAAATGGCCGTTTAAAAACAAAAAATCTCTCTGCAGCGTAGACATAGTCTCTGAGCCTTTTCCCCTGCAGCACTTCCAGGCATGAAGTAGCTGAAAGGTCCAGGATGAGGTTATGAACCTGCTCTGGTAAATCAAAACTAGCTGTGGTATGTCTGCACATGGTGCACTCGGCACCCCACTGCAGCGGGGACACCCCCGAGTGAGCAGAGCTGGGGTCAGGTCAGAGTAAACCCAGGCAGAGCTCGGCCACTTCATAGCCTCTGCTGCCACATGGCCATCTCATCCTGGTCACCTTCTGCTGCTCCTGTTACTGTCCCAATGAGACATACAGAGGCAATAAGACAGAGAATGCCTTATGGCCTTTGTATAAAACCATGGGACGCCCACAGCTTGAATTCTGCATGCAGATGTGGTCGCCTTATCTCAAAGAAGATCTCTTGGCACTGGAAGAGGTTCAGAAAAGGGGCAACAAAAATGATGATGGGTTTGGAACAGGTCCTGCATCGAGCGATGAAAAAGACTGGGACTTTTGAGCTTAGAAAAGAGGAGACTAAGGCGGGATATGATAGAGGTCTATAAAATCATGAATGATGTGGAGAAAGTGAGTAAGGAATAGTTATTTACTTGTTCCCATAACGTAGGAACTTGGTGTCACCAAATAAATGAATAGGTAGCAGGTTTAAAACAAACAAAAGGAAATTTTTCTTCATGCAGCACACAGTTAACCTGTGGAACTCCTTGCCAGAGGATGCTGTGAAGAGCAGGACTTTAATAGAGTATAAAAAAGAACTAGATCAATTCATGGAGGTTAGGTCCATCAATGGCTGTTAGCCAGGAAGGGTAGGAATGGTGTGTCTAGCCTCTGTCAGGAAATGACAGGAATGACAGGAGAGGGATCACGGGATGATTACCTGTTCTGTTCACCCCCTCTGGGGGATCTGGGAGAGGACCCTGGGCTAGTTGGAATTTAGGTCTGGCCCAGCCTGGTTGTTCTTATGTCCCGGGCTTGTCTGTTGCTGGGAGATGAACCCAGGGGCCAACACGTCCGTTCTGGTTCCCTTGCCTGTTACAGTGAGATCCCTGCTGAGGGTGTAGGGTGTGACAGGGACACTGGCTGGTCGCTGGGCACATGGGCATGGGGCTCATGGTCAGGCTGGGTGAGGCCAAAGCCAGTCCTGGCAATGCTGCGAGGGCCCGATGCCCATGTGAGCCCCAGGACGGCACCCACGGGGCTGTTGGCACCAGCCCTCGATGCTGAACATGCAGCCCTGGGAGCAGGTTGTCAAGAATGAGCATCGCCCACATCTTGCTATGACAGGACCCCGGGGGGGCAGAGGAGAGAGTGCCCAGCCCTGTGTTCCCCCCCCCTCCCCCAGTACATCTCTCCTTTTCTCTCAATTTCTTCCCTCCCCCCTGTGCCCATCCCATGTCGCCTGCTATAACAGTCTGCAGCTTTACCTAGCACCCTGGACAACCTCCCCACAGGACTGGCCCTGTTCACTCTGAGCTAAAACCAGCCCTTTCTGGTACATTTCCCAGACTTCACACTGACCTCACAGTCCCTGCTTCACGGGCAGAGGCCCCGTTTGTAACTCGGCGCTGGCCTGTGGGTTCCTCTCTCCTTTCCTTTCTCCAGAGGGAGGTGCAGGCAAGGCGAGAGATGATTGCGGGTGAATTTAACAAGCTGCACACGCTGCTGAGGGAGGAGGAGCAGCTGCTTCTGCAGAGGCTGGCGGAGGAGGAGCGGGAGACTCTGCAGAGGCTCCAGGAAAATGTCACCAAACTCTCCCAGCAAAGCGCCTCCCTGCAGCAGCTGATCGCAGAGATGGAGGGGAAGTGTCAGCAGCTGGTTGCTGAGCTGCTGAAGGTGAGACAGCGTCAAAACTCTGCCTCCAGCCAGAATTACAGCTCGGATCCATGGGCCTGGAACCCAAGAGTTAGAGCAGGGGTGGGCAAAAGGGCCTCTGCGAGCTGGATTCAGCCTGCCAAATGGGTTGATCTGGCCCGCGGAGACTCTGCCGCTCCCCCAACCCCAGGCCATTTAGAGCCATGGGGTAAGGGGAGTGTGCAAAGTTTCCTCCGCCCTGCGACCCCCACTCCCCATCCTGCGACAAGCACATGGCACTTCAAAGTCCCGAATACTCACGCAGAGTCCATGGGGTAAGGGGAGTGTGCAAAGTTTCCTCCGCCCTGCGACAAGCACATGGCACTTCAAAGTGCCGTATACTCACGCAGAGCGGGAGGAGAGTGAAGGAAGCTTTGCACAGCTACCCCACCCCCTGGCCCTGACTGGTCTGGGGGCAGTGAAGTGCGCGAAGCCTCCTCCTGCCCTGCAAGGAGCATGAGGCACTTTAAAGTGCTGCATGCTCCTTTCAGGGCAGGGGTGGAGCAGGAGGAGGCTTCACATGCTCCCTTCGCCCCCATGCCAATCAGGGCCTGGGGGTGGGGGCGTGTGTGAAGCCTCTTCTCGCCCTGGCATGGGTGCCTAGTGGGAAGGGGAGGCAAAGGGTCTCACCCACCCCCAGACCAATTATGATCTGTGGGTGGGAAGCCCAGAAGCATCATCTCCTGGCCCTGCCCTTCCAGTTTAGGCCCCGTCCCTTCTGGGGCAGCCTGGGGACACTTCAAATATTTTTGAAGTGGGCCCCGGCCAAAAATTATTACCCACCCCGGACTTAGAGTAAACTTGTTCTGCGGGCTCCTGACTGACAATATCGGGCCAAGGGCTCCCTCAGTGCCAGACGCTGCAGTTTGGGTGGGAGGGGAATCGTGGAGACCATCCAGGGGAGCCCTGCAAGATTAAATGTTTGGTGCAAAAATGATACTGGGCTAAGCCCATCCCTGCTGTGACTCCAGAGCATTGGCCTCAACCAGTCGCTAAACACGGATATGGGGGCGGAGTCCCTGGGAGGAAGAACCATTTAACTAAATTCCCGTCCGACCTACAAACAATGAATCGAGTGTAAATGCAAAACGACGCAGGAGGTTTTGCCGCAGAACAGTGAAGCCTGGGAGGGTGAATCCATTCTCTAGATGAAAGGCTGCTGCCCAGATCGGGAATTGCTCTTGCTTCTGCCCCCCGGTGATCACACAGAGCATCGATTCTCTTTCTCCTTTCAGGACGTGAAAAGCACATTGAGCAGGTGCGTGTCCCATTTTTGCTGCCCTTGTATTCCTGGTTGGGGCCCTGCGGCAATGCCGGCGCAGGGCAGCTGATGATGCTGGGACGTTTGCTTCCTAGGAGTGAAAACATGAAACTCCAGGGACCTGAAGCCATTTGCACTGACCTGCAGCGAGGGTATAAAATTTGTCTTGATCTGAGGGAAGCTCTGAACAGATTTGCAGGTGAGTGGAGCCCCTGGGACGTGCAGCTGTTTGGGGCTGGGGGCTCTGGGCAGAGCCTGGGGCCCCAGGTCACACGTGGACCCAGCTGGGAGCTGGGCGGGAGCTGGAGGCTGATGCACTCAGTGCTGGGGAGTTTGCCTGCTGCTCACACCCACCTGCTGGCTCTTGCCAGGGATCTGACCTGGCCCCATCACCCCGACACCGTGACCGCTTGCTGCCTGGTGCCACTGAGCAGGTGCTGGGAGGCCTGGCCTGGGCCCATGTGCTAGGGGCTGCACAGATGGGTCCCAGGGAACAGGTCTGTGCTTTTCTGCAGGTGCACGTGGTGGGTGGCCTCCCTCAGCATTGACACAGCCCCGTTAGCCCAGGCCAGCCGAGCTTTCTGGGTTGGGGAGGGGCCTGGCCCGTGTGTTACTGGGGGCCCCTTGACTGCCCAGTGTGAGGCTAGGTTAGTGATTTGCTGAGTGTGACTCTATTACCATCTGACCCTGATCTTCCCCCGCTGAACCCCCTCTTTCCTCCCCTAAGAGCCCAGCGCGGAGCCCAGGGGCAAAGGCAGACACGTGGCAGTGAGGGGGGCAGGGAGAGGAAACTACGGCGGAGGCAGAGGGGGGCTGGGAGAGGTCAGAGAACTCTGGCTGGGAGTGTTGCTCAGGCCCCTTCATCCTACTCCCGCTGCTCCACTGTGGGGCAGGAACCAGGGCTCCCTGCACCCCATTGTCCCCGTGTGCAGTGGGGAGGGTCCTGCAATGTTACTCAGCCCTTCGGCCAGATGAGCCCTCCGACCCCTGAGACTGCCAGATCTGGCCTGTGGACACAGCGGGGAGCCTCAGGCAGATTCCCTGTCTGCCCCTGCCAAGAAAAGAAGCCATTGTGACCTTGAGGGGTGTGACGGCGTGTCGAGTACCCCCTGATCCTGCAGCCCGTCTGCAGCAAGAACAGACTCCGCCAGCCAGTAGAATAGAGGGTTTATTGCTTCTCCAGGATACAGCACAGACGTGATGTGGTTACAGGAGCCAGGGCCAGGATGCCTCAGCCCCCTTGGGTTAGGGGTCTATCACCCCTAGCCCTCAGCTTAGGTTGGTCCTTTCATGTTTCCCAGCCAAAAACTGCCCCTTCCCCGGAAACCTGGTGTTGGTCTGGGCCTCCCTCCCTTTGTCTCTCCTCCTGGGAGGCTCAGCCTAGGTGTCTGGGTTAATACACACGTGGGTGAGTCAGTGGGAATCTCACATCACAACGCAGGGGACACCGGGTTACAGAGCAGACAGCCTCCCCACTACGCCACAAGGGGCTCCATTTGAACAGCTGTGAGCCTGGGTATGGGGGGTCGAGGTGCTCCTTCTCTCCCCAGCACAATCCCATTAGTCAGACACCGGCCAATGGGAGCTGCCTGTAGACAACATGCTGAGGAAATTCAGGGCAGTTACACCCTACTGGAAGGGTCTAGGAACCTGCCCCTCCCTTCACCCATCCTGTAGTCTCATGGTGCCTGCTCCTCTTGTTCCCATGGCCTCCTGTTCCTGTCACTTGCCCCTCCCCTTTCCTCCCCAGCATCAGCCTGCCCCTCTCCCTTCCCCTACCTATCCCCCACTCTGCCCTCTTCTCCTGCCTTGGTCCCCTCTGCACACGACCCTTCCCTATCCTCCCCACCTCCATCCACCCACTGGTGCCTGCCCCTTCCTTGCAACTTTCCCCTTGCCACCTTCCCTTCCTGCCCCTCTAGTCCCCTAGTGTGAGCTCCCTGCCTCTCTGGAGCCTGCCCCCTCTTCTGCCTTTCTGCCTGCCTGAGTCCTTTCCCTGCCCCCCTTTGGGCCCTGTGGTTTAGGCCCTTTCCCCACCCCATCTCTGCCTCACCCCTCTGCCTCCCTAGGGCCTGCCCTTCCACACTCCCCTCTCTTGGCTCCCTTCCTCCCCCTCTGCCTCCTGGTGCCCGCCCCTCTCCTCTCTGCTCTCCTTGCAGCTCTCCCTCCACCCAGACCCCCTGGAGACTGCTTCTTCCCTTGCCCGTCTCTGTCTTTCTGGCTCTCCCCTCTCATGCCCCTCCTCCTTGATAACTACCCCTTCCCTCACTGCCCTGGTGTCTTCTGGGGTCTGCCTCCCCCCCCCCCCATACCCACTAGCACCTGCCCTACCCCTCAACCCTCTTTGTATCCTTGTCACCTGCACCTTCCCCTGGTGCCAGCCCCTCCTCTCTCCCTGCTCTGTGCCTCGCTGCCCGCCCCTCCCCCTCCCCCTCTTTGATCTCTGATGCCCCTCCGCCTTTGTCTCTCCCCCATGGCCTTGGTGCCTGGCCTTCCTTTCCCTCTTCACTTCCCCCTGTGCCCACCCCTCCCATTCC